TGGAAGGTTGGATTTGATGGTTTTGATGATTTTGATGATTTGTATAGATAGGTTCTTGATGCCTGTAGAAGTTGATGCCCAGGCCATCTAAGAAGTATTGACAAATTTAACTATTGTATTTGTAATTCTAATATTTATTCAGCCATTGTACTGGTACACTTTTTAGAACTCCCCTAACAAAGAGTTCCCTTAAGGGAGATAACTTATTATGATCCAGACAACAAATAATCATACACTACAATTCCTTCCTTTTTCCTAAATGACAAATCATCATTTTCTGTAAACATAAAATGAACAACATCAATAATAACTAAACATTTAAAATATAAACTTTAGAGTTTTTGTTGTTTGGAGTGTCCTATATAAATGTTAATCATTTCGATATCGGAGAGGTCTTTTCCGATTACGCTTAGGTCGTTGATACGAATTGAAAGTTTTAATACTTTCATCACTTGAATCATCATGATCAATATTTGATTGATTTGAAACACTATCAGGATTTATATTCTGATTTGGCACAATAGTATGATCATTTCCGAATATAGCACTATGATCATTTTGATTTGGCACTTTATAAGATATATCATCAAATACATTTTTATTTGATGTTTCACTTTTGATTTCCCGATTACGATCACTTTCATAATACTTCTTAATATGTGTAACATTTCGCTTATAACGCACATAGGGTTTCTCTACAGTTTCTACAATTACACTATTTCCAAATTTGTGAATAACTTTGAATATTTTAGGATTAAATTTTGTTGAGAACTTATTATGATGATCTTGTTTCACTAAAACTCTATCACCTATTGAAATACTATTATTATTTCCTTCCTTTTTCCTTCTGTTCGCTATCTCTATCTCTAACTTCATAATCTTCTTTCGAAAATTCTTGTAATTCTGGCAGTTTTGTTCGTATCTTTCTCCCATATAATAATTCAGCTGGACTCTTTCCTGTTGTTGTGTGCGGCGTACTTCGATACATCATTAAGAATTGATCTAATTCAGATTATTTATCATGATTAGGTCTTGGTCATTACAATTTGACAATATTTTCGATAAATGGATTTTGAGTTATTAGTTTATTTGATTCAGGGGCACAATAGAAGCTCCAATTTTAGATTGATGAAATATGGTGTGATAATATAACCATTTTAAAGTTATTGCCCTTGACTTAGTTAAAACTTGTCAAAAT